AATAGAGTAACAATTCTTTGACATGTAATGTTACAACATAGACTGGATTTGTATTTAAGTCAACTTACTGATTGCTCACGTGACAAAGTGGCAGATCTCTTACAAATTTGGATTTATTTTATATTTTTGGCGAGTGGCGCAGCACGTGATGTCTTTAGGTGACTTGCACTATATACAATGTTAATATGTAATTATCGTAATTAATTACCACTTTTCCTTTTAAAAACGTAATTACGAAATTAATCGCGTGCGACGAAACTAATTATTGGCGACGAAACTAATTGCGGATGATGAGGGTTAACAAAAATAATTACGATTAACAATGAATAAATATCAAAGAAATCAAAAATTTCCTATAGAACCCGTTATTAACACTACACTGGTTAACCAACGTTAGAACCTTTGCTTTATACCAAAGCAAATAAACAAAACCTCGGAGTTCTATATATACCACTTTGATAACCAAACGGACAATTTAAACCCTACTGTTTAATTTCCGACCACAAAATGTTTTTATAAGCGAAACTAAGAATTTATTTATTTATTATTTATGTGTGAAATTATTTTTACAAGTGAATTACATTAAAATAATAAATAAATATTTCTGCCTCTACTTATTAGCAAGGCTCTGAAATATTAATTAGTTAACCTGATTTTTTTTTTCACTTAGTCAAAAGTGACTTATTTTTGTAATGATTTTTTAGATCAATTAAAATAAAATGTACTATCAGAAAGTTCGGCCAATTTTATTGTTTCCTTGTAACCTGACCGCTTTTCGTCCTCACAATATGAATCAATATGTAATTTTTTTATATTTAAAGAACATTTTAGGATAATAAAATAACAATTTATATTTTTACAATAATTAAAGTGCCTGTTTGTAAAAAACATGTTATTTAAGTAAAATCTTTCATGAAGACAATACCTTTCATTAAAATGAATTTTTTTACTTCAAGGACAAAATATTATTTATGGTTTAACAAAAATTGAAAAAATTTAAAATTCTATGTTAGTAGTACTTTATAAAGTGCAAAAAGTATATTTTATTTTTTTAAATATAAAATATAGAATGTAGAATTTATGGATTTTACATCACCCATAATTAATTTCTTCTGCAATGAATAATTTCGTCACTCGTAATTAATTTAATTAATTTTGTCACTCGTCGCGTAATTAATTTCGTAATTACGTATTACGTATTACGTATTACGTATTACGTATTATGTTTTTTATACACCACCTAGTCGCTTTAAAATAATAACCTTACGACTGCTGGTTAAATTCTTGATATTTTGACTTGTTGCTGATATTTCTAGTTCTTTTTTCTTGGCTTGTTTTTAATTGTTTCTCTTTACTTTCAATAATTTATCATCTAGATTACTAAATTGCAATTTCTTGGTTCTTTTTTCCTAATATTTCTTAATTCACTTTTCCCAGTGTCTTTTAGATTGAATAATAGTAATAGATGCTCGATAGACTTGCATGTGCAGCAAAAAATGATATTAAACAATGTTATCACATTCACCTTTACATTAAATACATGCTTTCCTTGTGGTATAAACTAAAAATTGATAGAAAACTGTATAAAACATGCATTAGAAGCTGTAAAATATGCAAAAGATCTTTTGAGTCAGGTGCAACCACCTTAAATGTAGTTGATTATACTAGTAACTTTGAAGTGCGCCTGTATTAGTAAAGACTACGATGGACTGTATTCGTTACTTAAATAATTTTGAGTATGGCTATGAATGCATATGACATTTATTTTATATTTTATCACTGTTATAAAAGTTTAAATTAAAAAAAATTTATTACAAACTAATTTGTTTTAATAATTAATTAATTAATAAATAATAATAATAATAATAATAATAATAATAATAATTTTGATTTTGAGTATATTACTATTACTTATTGTTATCATTATATCATCTTACCGAACATCTTTTCTTCTTTCCTCCTCTTCCACGCACACTCCTCTAATTAAGAAGTAAATAAAATAAAATAAAAATGACATTATTATTGAAAAAAGATGGTGATAATTAATTATTATAAATATTAAATATTATTATTATACTTCTATTACAATCACCTAATCCACTAACAATTAAATAATTGTTACAAAATATTACTAACAATTATAATAATGATAGTACCAATTTTCTTTAGATTATTAATCCAAGTTTAAATATCAATGTTGGTATAAATTCCAAGAATTCTAGTAAAACTGTCATCAACATATTGAAAATATAATCAAATAATCGGAACAGATGGTTGTGCGGTATTGCTGAAAGATTTGAATGAATAAACGAGAGTTGTGTGGTAATAATAATTAATTAAATTCGTTTGGTTTCTTTTTTCTATCTAGAAATTGAATTTACTATAAAATTCTACTGTGAAAAATAACAAATTTTTATGTTGTATATATGTGAAATCGAAATTTATAATTGGAATTTTGGGGTGGGGTGTTTGGATATGAAATTCTGATTGGCTAATTTGAATTTCACGTACATGAATTGCAAATTCACATATAACGCACAACATGTTTACTAATCAAAAGTTACAAAAGTTACTCAAGATTATAAAGTCGGACTGAAAATTTCCTTAATTGGAGAAAATCTATTACAATGGGAAATTTTTAATTACATAGTACATAGATAAACTCGATAAGTCCATCAGGAAATTAATTTAGCATAAACTTGCATAAATCTTATGATGCCGACGTAATATTGTGTAAATCTTACAGTGCCGATGTAAGTTTTACACTTTTTTATTATTAAACTTACAATTGACACGTGTAAAATTTTTTTATATTTTCCGGATGTCAGACACAAATGGCTGGACATGGTGTCCAACTTATTATGAGATCCGACTTATCAAAATATGCAATTTTACAAAAAAAAAAAAAAAAATAAGAAAATCGTGTTTAAATCATTTATTTATTTATAATAATAATTGAAAAAATAATTTAATAAAACAGATAAAAGGCAAAAAATTCTCTAAGGAATTTTGTTTTTTATTAATTTTCCATTTTAAATCTTTTTATTCCTGAAACAAAATGAACTATTTACTTGTATATCATTATTCTGTTGCAAGTAATTATATAGATTTTGAATGCTTTCTAAAGCAATTTTATTAGGTATTGGTGGGCCAATATCTTCTTCTTCTTCAGGTGCTTCTTGAATTGTTGCGATAATTTCGTCATCATCAAGCATTTCAGTCCCATCGCAAATATGCTATTGAATTTTGTCTAACTTCAAACATGGACTATAACATTGTTGACTGAATCCTGTTAAAATTGACAATCAATAATTCGACCAAGCTTCTCTTGGTGATTATCAGTTTCACTGAGCAATGTAACTTCTTGTTGTAATAATAATATCATCATTATTAACACTGATTTGATCAATCATCAGGAAAATGGGTAGAAATATTATGCGTATATAATACACAATTGCAGGGATTAAGCATATAATATGCATACAAATCGCGTATTTTTTTATGTATGCAAATTGTACATATATTATATGCTTAATCCCTGCAATTGTGTATTATATACGCATAATATTTGTACCCATTTTCCTGATGATAAGTAATTGTACTTCATCTATTTTAGGGTCAACTTCCATAGTAATAGGTCAGTCAACTTCATTATCAGGTAGAATACCTGTTTTTTTCCCAACATCTATCATGAATAATGACGAAATTATTTTATTGATCATACATTACTAAAAATAGTAAAGATTATCTCTCAAGGTTTACGAAAATCACGTGAACCGATTTATCGAGAGTCAAAAACATTAAAAATGATTCACGTTCTAGACACCCAAAAAGAAATTGTCACCCCAAAAAATGTTGCAGAAATTGGAAAACTTATTATTGAAGACCCACATATATCAATTAAACATTTGAGGAATTGGTGTTCCATGTTGCAATCCAAAAAAGGAAACAAAATGGTCATAAAGGTGGTAGCAACCATCATCAAAAATTGCAGCCAGTATACTTAAGAGGAATTAATTGGTATTCCTACTGAGAGAATTCATTATATTTTGCATAATGAATTGGAAGTTTCAAAAGTATGTGCAAAATGGGTTCTACATGACAACGCATCATCACACAAGGCAAAAATTACAACAGAGTTTTTGGAGGAAAATAATGTAACTGTACTGCCTCACCCACCCTACAGTCCAGATCTAGCACCATGTGACTTTTTTCTATTTTCTAAAATAAAAAAAGAATTGGGTGGAAGAAAGTTTGATAAGGTGGAAAAACTTGCACATGCTACCCAGTCAATTGCTGATAATATCCCAAAAGAGGAATATTACAAATCTTTCCAGGAGTGGTAAAGAAGGCTGAAATTTTGTGCAGATGCCCATGGGAATTATTTTGAAGGAATGGTATAAGTTTTTGGAAATGGAATAAGCTTTTGGAAATTGTATATATGTATGTTGACTTAAATACAAATCCAGTCTATGTTGTAACATTACATGTCAAAGAATTGTTACTCTATTTTTTGAATTTTTTGTGCCTGAAATTTTATTTGTAGCAAGTGTTTTTGAAGGCTCTGTATTCCAGTATAAGTCTGTTTCACCACAATTAAACACATCACAAAGTGAATAATTAGAAATTAAATTTTGCAACCTTTCCCTTTCTTCTGGAAGTTGATCCAATGGAGCACTAGTAGATTCTCCATGTTTGTTATATTGTTTAAGATTATGACGCAGTTTGAATTTATTTAACCATCCACCAGAACCCCAAAATCAGTGATGTTAAGAAGGTTTGCAAATTGTTGTGCTTTATTCAAAAGAATGCTGCTACTAATTGTTAAATTTGCAGTTTGTGCTTGCATGACCCATAATAACAATGCTTCTTCAACTTCTATATACTAAGGTTGTCTAACCTGTTTTTTGTCTTTGTTATTTTGGTCATTTGGATAAACTGCTAGATATTCAGTTTTTCTTTTAAGAATATCACTTACTGTATTCAGATAAATTCCAAATTCTTCTGCAAGTTCTTTATTTAAAGTTTTTGGTTTTTTTTA